GATCTTTCAGCACTCGCATCTCCGTCGCAGAATGAACCCTACTTCACATGATACTCCAGATGCTCATGAAGAAAACTTAGCTGCTTTTCGAGCTCTCTCTCTCTCTCTCTCTCGGCGATCCAATCATGGTTGAGTTGCCTGGATAGGCGTGCAGAAGTTGCATGATTGCATACCTGCTGTATGCAATGCCTGTGAAGCTCAGTCGGCAACTATGTTGCTTTGGCATAGTTACATAGTTTATTGTGCTGTTGAGCAGATCCGGAGAGCTGAGCTCGGTTGGTTGCAGGAGCTTCGAGAACTTGCGATGGACCGGTGTTGCCTTGTTGTCATCTGAGAGCAGCCACCCTCCCCTAAAGACAGCTACAGGACCTGGTGACTGATGCAGTGACGGCTGCTGGGCTGGACCAGGCCACTCTCTGCATGTTGCCACTTACGCACCCATCTCAAGATTCCCTGCAAGGTGATTGGTATACAGTCTTGGGCCAAGGAAACTGCCACAGATTTTGCGAAGGCCCTTGCCCAAGACCGCCCCTGAGACTTTTTGGCGGTGCAGATCCTGCAGGCTGCCGGCCGAAAGTTTGACGTCAAGGTGCGCGAAGCCTAGGTGATGAACGGGGTAGCTCAGTACCAGGAGCGGTTTGAGGCGCTGATTTCTGATCTCGATTGCTGGATGGGCTGCCACCCGACTTGTCTCACCGACAGCATGGTGCTAAGCCGCTTCGAAGATAAGAGCTGCCCGACGGTTTGACGAAGCTAGACGGGCTCCTTCGATGCAGCATGAAGCTTGAGCTGCAACTGACATGTCACAGCGTTGTGGCCCAAAAGTCGGGTTGCTGGCTTCATTTTGGATCCTGCTGGTGCGCACCCAAGAAAATGACAGTAGGAATTATGCACTACTAGGCGGGGTGAAGACAGGCAGGTACAGCTTGACAGCACACATTTCTAAGGTCCTCTTGTGGCAATGTGGTGCCATCCTGAGAGAGGGAGGGCAATAGTTTTATGCTGAACGAAGCACACTGCTCAAATAGCACGCTCGAACACAGGCAAATCCATGCCTGATACTAGCTAGAACACCATTATTAATTATTAGTATTAAACAAAAATAGGTCGTACTCTTCTGGCAGGTGCAGGCGGTTTTGTGATGGGATTGAAGTAAACCAGCCAAACTTCGCCAACAAAGCGTTGCAACCCAGACCATCCAAGACCCTCGCCCGACACGGTTCAACCCCAAAGGCTTTAAATCCACAATCCGGACGGTTTCGACCTTACGCTTCGCGGATGTGGCCAAGGTGGGGAACCCCGCAGCAGGTGCACAAGGGCCGCGCTGAGGCTGCCGAGGAGCCCGGGCATGCCTTGTCCACGGGAGGAGACATCACTGTAGCAAACAAGGCTGCCACAAGAGCAAGTACTACACCTCTCATTCCAGCAGCAGGAGAAGAACAGCCGCAAGAACATCAAGAAAAGCAAGAGCAGGAACAGGAGCAATCGCAAGACCAAGATCACTAAGACTAAGAGAACCAAGCGCCAGAGCCTCGTCCTCGTCGTCGTCATCGTCGTTTTGGCCTGAGTCGTCTCTGCAAGCTCCGTCATCACGTTCATGAAGATCAACATGAACATAACAGCCGAGGATTATGATGGTGATGATGATGGTGGTGACGATGGTGATGATGACGATGATGAAGGTGATGTGGAGGACCACCACCATCATTGACATCAGAAAGATCACATTCGTGTGTCACAATCAGATCTATAGCTTGGGCAAAAGAGCAACGACCATGCGGTGATGGTGCCAAAGTGCTGCGGTGGCGCTGTTTGCAGTTATGGATGTGATTGGAGGAGGTGGAAGGCGAGTACCATGGTAGACGTAGAACGGCAAACAGTGTTGGCCCTTGGGTCCCAGTATCAGGCAGAGAAAATGGCCGACGCTGTGCCATCCCTTGGTGCCAAAGCTGCACTTGTGATTCTTTTTATGCTCACCGCTACAGCGTCGGCCTTCTGCGAGCGACTCGCCGGCTTACACTGCACTGCGATTGGAGAGAAGGCCAGCTGAGCGGGCCTGCTTTCACCGAGGCTCAACGCCTATGGATCTTGATATCAGAGCTACCCGGACAAGCGCCAACATGCTTGATGGACCGAGATGCCTATGTGCTAACGCAGGGCTGGGGGCCAAGGGACTTGTCGTGCTCTGCCAGGATTGCAGAGCTTGCTCGACAGCAAAGAATGCCAGTGCCCTGGATGGTCCCTTCGGCACTGAAAGCACTACCGAATGCTGGCCAGGCTGCGATATTGTGTTTCTCGCATGCGAAGAGCAGATTGAAGCGCATGCTGCGCAGAGCTCATGACCTGACGGAATAGATGCAGATGTCGGCATTTGAGAAGATGGGGACAGTTGAAGGTGGTTCTGGCTGCAAGCAGCCCCAACTTCTGCAAGTACTTAAGGCAGTCTTCCATGCCACGGGCTCAATCGCATGTTTAGCTGCGTAGCTGTCTCACCGCAAGCAAAGCTGATTGTCCGAGGCGTGGACTCAAAGAGCCCTCGGCTCCTGGCCACGAAATGGAGGCAAGCGGCGCCATGGTCTCTGACATGATAGATGCTGCAACAGATGGTTAGAACAAAGATTACGCCTGAGACACAATGTGGGCCAAGTGGCCGCGTTCATAGAATCAACTGTTGCAAGTGGTTCAATCCTTCAGGAGCTGTTCACGACCGTATTGACCAGCCCGCACGGGGCGGCCGGAACGGAGGTTCGCCGGGGTGTCTGGGCACTGGGCCGGGCCCCTCCGCTGACCCCTCGAAGTCTCGAAAGATTGAGGCTGGGGCGCTTTCGCCCGTGGCCCCCAGAGCCGCAGGCCAGCCGTGTATTTTGCCCAGGGCCGTGAGTTGTGCCTTTGGGAGTGTCAGCGCTTGTGAGGAGAGGGAGAAGAGCCCCAAGCAGAGGTCCCCGAGACAGAGGCCCTTTCCCAACCGAAGGAGTCGAAGGGAGCGGAAGTCGAAAAGGGGTCACTTTGGCTTGGAGCCTGCCAGGAGGAGCCTGGGATGGATGGAGCTGGCAAAGGCTCCGATGAGGCGGTCTGTGCAGATCACAGATGCCTTCCTAAGTTTCTGTCTCGAATTCCGCTGCGTTTGTCGCTTGCCTCACAGGCGACAGCGGAAGCGCCCATGGAAGTGGAGGTCGAAGCTCCCAAGCCACGCCCCTGAGAAAAGCATGTGGCTTCCATCGCTGTGAAGAGCAATGAGGCCGGAAGAAGCCGCCCCAGCACGAACTGCCGGGACAACTAGTCCCGCAAATCCCACACACCACGAGAAGGCAAAGGCGAGCTCCGTTGGCCTTTAGACTTCCAAGCTCTCCTGTCAGCCGCAGGCGGACAAGGTTCGTGTTCAGGTCAACGGCCTCTCCTCCTCAGAGGCGGGAGGGGGGTGTAGTCTGTCTCGCTCCACCAGAGCTGAACTTCGAAGGCGATGCACATCCTCCTGGACTACATCTACAAGGGCAGTGCAGCCGTGCGGGCATCAGCTGACTCTTTTTCCCGACACCGCTTTTTTTGTTGTTGTTCTCTGCTTTGAGCTTTGCTCAGGCCAGCTGGGAATACAAGGCTACGACTGCGCAGGCGAGCCGCGGCGAGCAGCGGTTTTGTGCACTTTCAAGGTCGCCCACCCTTGTCGGCAGGTTAACAAGGAGATCTTGCGCTTGGCCAGATGCTTCGGCTTTGCGCAGCTGCACGAGCACGCGGTGGGGGTCTCTTACGTGAACCTTTTTCTTTTTGAGATCCGGGTCCGTTTGCGCTCGAGGCGAGGTGGCTTGCAAAAGGCTTGACTACCGAGAATGTTGTGGACCGACTCGTAACGCCCAGACCTCAAAGCAAGTTAAGATCAGCATCAGCATCAACTGCTTGCTGTCACCATATTTGGAAGGTGCGAGGAGTTTGGACTAGGCCTGCTGCGCGAGAAGATCACCGAGAGGCTCCAAGATGTCACAGAGAAGTCGTGCTCAGCTCGCGTTTGGAAAGGCTCGCGCTGAAGCCTGCCGAAATGATGCAAGTGTGCAGCAGCCCGGAGATCACCAAGCACCCTCGGATCTTGCAGGACACAGGGACATCGGGAAGTCAGGGCCTGGCGGTGGCTTGTGCCATCGCTAGCTTGTTGATCCCTTTTTGCCTGTCTGCGAGGACCTCCTGGTGCAAGTTGCTTCGCTGAAAAAGGGCTGCACGGAGGCGACAGAGGATGCAAAAGAGGAGAAGCAAGAGCCGAAGGAAGAGAAGCCTGCGAAGCACGACAAAGCCGAAAGGGAGAAGGAGAAGCATGAGAAGGAGAAGCAGGACAAGGCCGAAAAGCCGGACAAACCGGAGAAGAAGCACGAAAAGGCAGAGAAGCCCGAGAAGCCGTCGAAGCAGGTGCCCGGGCTTGATATGAAGCCGACCTAAGCTGGTTCTGAGCATCCGCAGAGGCAGAGAAACAGACGGGCAAGAAGCGCAAAGCCGGGCTCCCAGGAAGCCTCGACGAATCAAGGTGGTTCTCATATGCTGTATAATACATCATATATGATATTATACAGACACACACACACACAAATATGTATATATATATATATACATACATGCATTGCATCATCTTCCTTCTGTTATTCTTAGGTTCATTGAAGGGTTTCAGATATGCGAATGTCGAAGGGGAGATCTGAGACAAGTCGCAGACCCACCAGTGATGGAGACCTGAGGGTTCGGGTGTGGCGAAGCCGTTCGCAGACTCTCTGTCTCGAATAGTAACCAGTATTAATAATATTATTAATGTTAGTACTGGTATCAGTCTGTGGACTTGCATGACCTGCTTTGTCGTGATTTCTTGCAGGCAGGGGCCTAGACGGCAACAGCCCGTGCTGAATTCCCAGCATATGAGCTTTGGCTGTCATGTACTCCTAGCTAAGTTTCGCTTTAGACCCATTTTGTGTAGCCAGCCATGTCTAGTGCGCCACATGGCCATGTCCCAATTCGGTGCAGAAAGCACAATACAGTGCAGTTTCACTCAATTCCTGTGTGGGAATGCTCATTTTAGCCTCTGCGGGAAGGAGGTCCTGTCCAGTGCAATTTATTCGTAATTCGGCCCTGCTGCCAGATGGTATGTCACGGCTGTGACTGCATGGCGCGACAGGCGCGCTTTGGAGGTGACGCACCCGTAGAAAAGGATCGGGGAAGGCTGGGCTGTTGATGGCACGCGGACTTCCGCTACAGCCTCCTCGCCTGAAACACCATGTATGCCAGCAGCAACCATCGTGGGGCGGTCACTTGCAAAGACTTACCGAAACCGCAATCTTGCTCTCAGATTTCTGCCATGGACTCCATCGAGACGAGCGTGGAGGCAGGTCTCCACAAAGCTCGCTTTTTTCCGCCACTTTGCGAACCCGGTGTTTCAGTGACGTTTTGCAACAGCTCGAACACTACGCCTGTACCCCCATAATTAAAATCTGACAGTAGTAAATCGCAATGTTGCAGGCCATCGCCGCAGCGGTGAGAATCTCGTGACCTTCTTCATCTTCACTGCCAAATTCTGCACTAGTCACGTGCGAATGCCCGCCTAAGCAGGTATGGGCCCTGCGGCAAGGATCAGCTGATCGTCACAGAGAGACAGAAGTTGGTTACCAATTCCGCGTGAGCCCCAACAAAGAGGAGACTTCAATGGTCAAGGTGAGTGCTGCTCACGGCAGGCTGCAAGGATTCTGGAGCTGGCACGGCCTGGCTCCCCCATCGCCAAGGCGCCGAGTCGGTTAATATTCTGTAGTATATTTATGGCGTATTTAGGGCATTTATGGTATATCTATAGTATGTTTACAGTATATTTACAGTATATTGTAGTATGTGTGTGTATATATATATATACATACATACACGTATATTTATGGTATATTTAGACTATATGATGGTATATCATAGTATATCAAAACAGTACATTGGTGCTTGGAGGTTGTCCTGCGCCACGTCTGCAAGTTTGCGCAGGACGTGAACGACTTCCAACGGCAGCATTATTCTGGGGTTCAGTTCGCTAATGAGGAGTGATGTTCATCGCTTGTCCAGGACGTGGGAGATGGAGCAGGCACACTTGTCGGCCTCTCAGTTGCTCTTTTGTGCTTGCAGGCGTTGCTGCCTTAGCTGGATGGCCCATAATCTTGGCCCATGGTCCGGGCTTTGTGCGTTGCAGGCATTGCTTCTTGCGGGTGCTGTCCGAGTGTGCAGCTCTTGGCTGCGGGAGGGCAAAGCGCGTCGACAGGAGCGGCCACTGCAGCCCTTCTGCTTTCTAGCCATAGGGCCATAGGGGAGCTCTCATTGCACCGAGCCATTCCTTGCATTCCCCGAGGATTTGGAGCATTGCCTATCGTACATTGAGGCAGGGGCTGCGGCAGGGTGTTGTCACCTGCTTTCTTGTGAGTTTTTGGTGTGCTTCTGCGACGACTCTCGCAGCAGACGAGGCAGTTGTGCTGCGAGAAGACGCCGCAGAGCTGCTAGAGGGCCTTCGATGGTCAGCAGGTTCGTGTGACCCCGGGCGGTCTGCTCAGAAGCCATTCGGAGAAGGCAGAGACAACGCTGAACAGATACCTCTACAGAGAAGCGCTTCTTTGACCTGGCACGAAGCTTCTTCGGTGCGAATTTCCCCCCGGAGGCGTCAGGAAGCCTGTTTTTGCTTCGCGGTGTGTGCTAGTTTGGGAGACCGAAGGTCTCTGGAGCTCTGTCAAGAGCGTGCCACCCGACTTCAAATCCGGCTTTGGAGTGTTTCTGGCAAGAGTTGGCAGCTTAGCACCGAAAGCCAAGTTGGACGGACGCATAAGGTTGGCGATGGCTCTGTGACAACTGCTCTCGCCCTCTTGACGGCGACAAGGCATGATGGAGCTGTCTGCACAGGAGATACTAGCACAGCAGAGACGTGCGTCAATAGACTTGTACCACTGGCAGTAGGCTGCAGTTGCAGAAGAAGTCGTTGTTCAGCCGAAGCAAGTTGCTTCGGCCGCCGCGTCCCTTCGGAGTGGGGAACTTGTTAAAGCCTCGGTCTCAGCACTCTGACAAAAGATCATGACTGAGCGTCGTAGAGCTGAACGACGTGCGAACAGGTGCCCAGTGCGGGTCCATCGATGCAAGAGACGACAGGTGCGACATTTTGTGCAACAGTCCTTGCTGGTGCCGATGTTTGACCCACCCTGTGTAATTCTTGTGTGTGCAATGCCGGAAGGCAGCGCTTCTTCAGCAAGGGTCGAGAGAGCTGTGCTTGTTTCTGGCGTGCACGGGCCCCGGTATTTGCAGCAAATAAAGTCCAAGCAGGCAGTCCGGATCCACCCTACAGTCACTACAGTATCTCCATGAATTCGGCTCAAGGTTGGCGACCTCGAGCATGCCGAGAGAATGCCAGGGCCGGGCAGTCGTCCTGGACGACGACGTTGCACCCCTGCCAGCTGCAAGCCGAGACCGTAGGACACTCGTAAGCAGATGTAAGCAGCATGACAAAACCCGAGCTCAGCAGTTGAGGTTCGCGTCGCCATGCCAGCTGTTGCCCTTGACAGGACGTCTTCATTCTCGGCTTTGAGCCGTGTATGTTTCTGCAAGCATTTCGTTGCAGGCTGGGGAAACGATTGGTCGTGGCCACGGAGCAGCTCTGGCAGGACGGGGCCAATGCTCCTGCATCCTTCCTGCAGCAGATTTACTGCTGATGGCATATATCCCAGGCAGGCATTCGGCTCGTTCTCTGTGCAGCACACGTCCACGAGGCCTGCTTTGCTTTGCGCTGAAAGTCTTTTTCATTGCCAGTTCAACAGGAGTGGACAGGCTCATTGTCCCAGCGTGGGATTGCGGTGCTGCATTTGGTTGATGAGGAGGCCTCCACTGGCTTTCTTCCTTTTCTCTGTCCTTTGGCTTCAGCTTCTGCGGAGGAGCTCGCTGTGTTGGAAGCGCGCTGCGGCATCACCCGGAGGGTGCGCTTGGGCAGTGATGCTGCAACCTGAGAGGGCTAGGAGCCGGCAGGGTTCCAGCTGCGTAGCCAATGTCCAGCGCTCTTCGCTTTCCGAGGACGTGGCCACTTTGAAAGCTGCAGGGTTTCAGCTTGAGTCGTTCAGGCTCGACTTCAGTTTTGCTGCCCTCAACCTTACACCAATCTCTATAGGCTGGCCTTGGACCAGTGTGCCTCAAACCCAGGCCCTTGCAGAAATCCTCGGAAGGGCTGGCAGGATGTCGAGTTGGACGCTCAGAGCGCAGAGCCCTGTGCTTGAAGTCGAGCCTCTGCTTGGCGAACAAAAGGCTTACTGGCTACTTGATCTGAGCCGACAGAGCGATCGCAGTCCCGCAAGCTCGCCTGGCACGGTTGCCAAACTTTCACACGCAGACGTCTAAAGTTGGCGATGTATGACCCTGCACGCAGCCAGGCTGCTTGCTGCTCCAAGCGAGCTCCACTAGCCAGGGGCCTGGCCTGACGCACACAAGAAAGGTCGTCTTTTGAGGACTGCGATTGTGCGGTTTATGCGAAGTCTGGTCGCTTTCTGAGGTTTGGCAGTCGAGCATCGACTGGCAATCCTTCGTCTCTTGGTGGTTTTGCACGGATACCAGGACTTGTTCGACTTAGCTTTCTGTCGTTATCCAAGACTCTACTTGCATGCTGGATCTCAGCCAGCTGCTCTGATTCAGGAGCCTCGTGATCTCATCGCAGGAGGCTTGGGCCTAAGACTTTAAGCCTGTGGTCCCTTTCCTCCGGTGCAAGGGGAGCTGCTCTCTCAGGCTTGGCATTCGAAGTGGCTTTACTGCGCATGGCGCGACGGAAGATCACAAACCTTCGTGGCCCAGAAAACAGGACGGAGAGAGAGAGAGAGAGAGAGGGAGCGAGAGAGAGTGCCCAGTTGTCCGACTGCCCTGCTTCGGGCGGCCGAGACCTCTAAAGAGCTCCATCCCAGGACTGTGGAAAGCAACGTGCCGGCCCCAGGCGTCCTCAACAACAAATATTAACAATGATAATAATAATAATAGTAGTAATTTTTATTATTAATATTATTATTATAGTAGTAATAATAATAGTAAATCAAGAAATCCTCTTGCAAGCTGATCCACAGTTCCTCCGCAGGGATCATAGAACAACAAGTCCTGATGAAGCGCCAATAATAACAGGAACGAGAAGCAGCACTCGTCAGTTCACCAGAGATGATTTGTGCAAACGATCGTGCAAGCAAACATCACGCCCTGTAGACCTCCGGATTACGCCAGAGGCTTCTCAAGGGGCCGTCTTGACAGGAAACTCGGGCCCTGCGACTGAGCAAAACTGTCGATGCCAGTAGCCAGCGAGAGTGAGCGTTTCGGTATGTTTCGGTGCCCCGAAACTCGAACACCCGAAGTCTTCACCTGAGCAAGAATCGAGGGGACATAGTTTTGCCGAGATTCTGGAGTGTGCTTCTCTCGTGGCGTTTGTCTGTCGGTCGCAGAGTCTGAAGAGTAGGCTCGGAGATGTGCAGCAAAGGCATTCCACATCCTGGGAGTCGAAGATCCTGCTAAGGTCCCGCAGTGACCTGGTTTGCGACTGCGAGCAAAAGCAAATAGCATCCGATAGCGACTAGGTTGAAATGGCAGGCGGTGCGCCTGGAGGGTCTTTCCTGGTCGCTCCTCGAGGCCTGCTCTGTCAAGCTTGGCGTCTGGCGGTGAGCCTGCGCTGTCCAGGCTTCCTTGTTGGAGGTGGTGGAGGTCTGCTGCATTCTGCTGCACTGGTGGAAAAGGCTCCAGAAGTATTAGCCTTTTCAGGCTTTCATTGCGAATCTCCTTGGATGTCGCGGGGGCACAGGTGCTTTTTCTGGACCAGTACTCCAGTCAGGAATCAAGCTTTTGAATTCCTCACTGTGCGGAGTTGAAGGTGCACGACTGAGAAGTGCAGGAAGGACATTGCACAGGGCTGTCTCAGGGCATTGCTTAGAGAAGAGACCGGTGCCGAGGTTGTATGTGGCGTGTCCGGTAGATGTCATGGGCGCCGGAGCTGAACAGACTATACGTTCCAACGCATTGCTCTTTGTTGACTACCAGACGATTAGTCTGCCTTCCCTCAACCCTAAACGGCCCCAGACGGCCCGAAACCTTGAAGACGAGGGCCAGGGATTTGTGACCCTTTGCAGGACTGCCAGACTGCTGGCCTCGGCAAGCCCATCAGAGCTGGGTGATGTGCCGTGCTCCCAGTTTAGGGTTTAGGGTTCAGAGCCATGATTATACAAGGCGTTTTATAACGATGTTGCAAGGGTTTCAGAGGGCTGCGTAACGGTCTGAGAACAGTTTCATGGGGCTTCTGAAGAGTTCTACAGGGGCTTGTGTGGTAAACCTCAGGGAAGTTCGTGTCTGGAGAGTCTGGATTTGGAGTTGTGGAGTTCAGGGGCTTGAGGGTTGGAGGTCAGGATCCATTCTCATGGAGCCATCTGTGCCATGAATTGTGCTCATCCTTCGGTAGTAATGACTTGCAGAAATCAGTTGTGATCATGGTAAACATTGGCTGCGTCGACCCTAACCTCTGCATCGTGTTTACGACTACGTTTTGCAGACATGGGTCTGGCATTCACGCTTCCGAATCCGTGGTCAGACACCAGGCCTGGGATGCTAGCGGTTCCTGGCGGCTTCTACAGCTTCGTCGTAGAGCCCGGCATCGGGGCCTGTGAGGCGCACAGAAGTCCCCGGAATCAAAACCACCACCCCCCCCCCCCCCCCCCGGGCCCAAGCGTGGCGGCTTTCAGGACTCCACTCCTCGACCCGTGGAGCCGCCCAGCTGCAAAACCCCAGCATCGGAGTCATCATCGTGTGTTTAGCTGTCTCTTAGTTCATGGAAGTCTGCTTCATTGCCGCCGAACGGCAAGGACTGCACACCTGAAGTTGCAGCAGCTGCGGGCTATGTGTAGTTTGGTACGGCAGCTGTGTGCAGCTGGCTTGCTTCCAGCTTTACTTCTGGTCGGACGGAATCGCTGCATATCGCTGCGGCCGGTGGCAGGTCGCTTGGATCCTTCCTGCGTGGATCGGGCCGCTACCACCACGCAAAGCCAATGACAACCATAGGCCATAGGTTTCAGATTCCATGCTTTGATGTGTGTGAAGTGATGCCCCGAAGGACAGCTTCGATTCTGAAAGCTCGACTTCAACTTCTCACACGGAGGTGCTGTGAGGAAGGGCAGATTGGAAGTGATAACTTGTAGCGCCACGGTTCCCGGTGGAGAAGGGGGACGGACCACTTAGAATCAGAACAACTCTGCGAGAGCATGGACCTTGTCACGTTGCGGCCTCGGATGCAGGTGACAGTTGCGGCGGACTTGCACTGCCAGTGCTTGAATCCTTCAGGAGCAGCCTGTCATCGGGGCAGACAATGATGGTAAGTCGGCATGGACAAGACATAGCAGCATGATAAGCTCTCGGCAATGGAAGGACGCCGCCTCCTTCCCACAACGGCTCGGCGCCGCGGCGATGTCGGCAGCGATTGCGTGGAGATGTGGATGGAGGCGCGGCATGGCAGTGCCTGCGACCTGATTGCGCAGGCTTCTGCAACCTTGGTCCAGTGAGGTTTTGCTCCGAAACCAGGCGAATCGCCAGGTGAGCCTCTCAGAGCCGCTGCTGAAAAATGGAGGGCAGAGCAGAGAGTCTCCGAATGCTCCGAAGGCTCGAAGGCGGCTCACAGCTCAGCTCATTGACCTTCCCTTTAAGAGCCATGCAGCGGCTTGTGCGTGGCTTGCAGCTAGGGCCGCTGGGGCACGGCTTGCGGCGAGTTGCTGGAACCGGCGTGGAACGTGCCGTGACCCTGCGGTGGCCCGATGGCCGGGAAGTTGGTGCCTTTCTTCCGAAGTTCTTGCGAGAAAACACGATAGAAGCTTGGGATGGGAGTTCCAAGCAGCGTTTGGACTTTTGCCTTCCCCTTGACTTACAGGTCAGGGACGTAGCGCCAGTGGAGTTCTCGTCACCTGACTACTCCGGCCCCGCTTTCCGGCTGCAATTCTCGGACGGTCATGTTGGCCACTTCACTCCTCCGCGTCCTGCAGATACAATGTGGTCGAATGAACTCCGTCGCCAAGAGAAGCTCCTGTGGGGCAGTGAAGAAGCTACACAAGTTCGAGGTGAACTACGTGACGGCCATGGACCGCTTCGCTTCGAGTGGAAGGATCTGCAGGAGAATCCCTCCGTAGCCAAAAGATGGATCGAGGCAATGCACAGTCATGGACTGGCACTGGTCGCCGGATTGCCGAGTTCTGAAGATAAACCTTTTGAAGGTGTTCATGCATTCGCACGGAGCTTGGGCACGTTCCTTGCTCCGAGCGTTTATGGAGAGACCTTTCAAATCAAGAGCGTCACAAGCCCAAACAACTTGGCATACTCCAGCCTTGGCTTGCAGATGCATACGGATTTGCCTTTCAACGAGCAACCGCCAGGCATTCAACTCTTTCACTGCCTGCAGCAGGCAGAAGAAGGCGGCGAGTCTATTGCCATGGATGGGTTTGCGGCAGCAGAATCTCTACGTCAGCAGGACCCGGAGGCATTTCAAACGCTTTGCGAACATCCCATCGGGTTTCAGGACGTCACCAAGGACTGGTTCCTCTCTGCAAAGCATCCCACCTTTGAGTTGGACGGCGCAGCTTCCGCGGACACTGCATCAAAGCTGCGGCGTCTGAACTTCAATGAAAGGGCCAGGGACTCTTGGCGACACTGGAATCCCGCAGCATCCTTGCAGCAGGAAGAGAGGGTCTATGAGGCGATGCGTAAGTTCGAGGAACTCGTCGAGGATCGTTCCCGCTACGTGTCGCTGCGCCTTATGCCGGGGGAGATGATATGTACAGACAACTGGCGGGTAATGCACTCGCGCTCCTCTTTCTTGGGCTCGAGATATTTTGTCGGCGCCTACCTAGACTGGGATGCTGTGAGAGGACGCTGGCGCAGCTTGTCGAACACATTCGAAGCCCAGTGGAGGGACATCGCCTCCACACGCTAAGTCTCGGAAGATGCCCATGCCACTTTGACTTTTGCTGATGGAGACGAGACAGAATGAGACAGCTCCAAAAGATCAGCGAAGGCTGCTCTATTCTTCCGTGTTGCCCTGCACGGCCCTAGGGCCCGCCCTGTTTATGTTGTCCGGAGCCTTGAAGGGCCCGAAGAGTGAGCGAACTTCCGATTGGGAAGGTCAGCTCGTCCGACTCCTCTTCCACGGCGCCCATTGTGGATGTCACTTGTGCATGTGGCGGACGGCAAGATCTCAAAGGAAACAGTTCGTCTCCGCAGGTGGTTGGGATACCCTTTGAAGGACAAGCACACTAAACTAGTAATGAGGACGTCGTAGTGGACATCGCACTCTCTCTTGAGCACTCTCTGATCATGTGCGATGTTATTGTCAAGACGCTTCGGAAGATTCAAGGGACAGGAGCCAACACTGGTTTGCCAGCTCAGGTCCGTTCGAAACTTCATGAGATTTCCGGCCTCGACGATTTTTGTCCGGTCACGGACTCAGAGGCAGATCTGGAAGATTCGTTCGCCTGCTGGGCGCAGCTGTGACATGAAGCTAACTAGGGAACTCGAATCCAAGTTCGAGAGTCGAATGCAGGTTCCTTGATCCACGAAATGTGCGGTGTGCGCTTGCAGGTCACCCCTGCACCAATGGTGCGAAACAGCCCGAATGGGCCTGCTGTAGTGGAAGGGACTTTAGAACAGTCTTCCGGCTCATGCCAGAGCCTGGCACGTCCTCAAGCCTCCCTCTCAGCCTCCCTCTCAGCAGTGCACGTCTGGTGAGCTTTGGCCGAGGCCAGGCGCCTTCGACTTTTCCGCTTAGCGGGGAGGAGGTCCTGAACAAGACGGGGGAAGATGGCACCTTCCGAAAGGCAGTGAGTGCAAGTTGCAAGTGGTCCGTCGAATCAGGCTGCAGACCTCTAGTTTCCTGTGCCTGTGCCTGTGGGCATTTAGTCATGGTTCACCGTCGCTGTGGTGGAAGCTGGACGACAACAGACGAAATTCAGCAAGGCTTGACCCCTGAGTTCATACTTAGATCTCAGTTTCACACGGCGCCGCTTCGATACGACTAGAGCCAAGCCGCTCGAGGATGCAAAATAGAGCCACAGTCGCGCATTAAGCTCCCAAGGTGAAGACAGGAGGTGCGATGGATGAGACTTTGCAATCATTTAGTCAAATCCGGGTGCATACTTTATCGTACGCGGATGTCGGACTTTGGGGTGGTATGAGGGTGAGGTGACCTCCTATTCTCAGGCTACCCATGTAAGTTATTCACAGGCCCAGTGTGGTAGTCTTGAAAAGAGTGCTGCAGACGCTTGAATGCAAGTTTCTTCCGGCACCTCAAATTCTGTTGACCCGCTGGGCCACCTCAAGGGCAGGTTTTGTGGCAATGGTTGCCCGCGGGTGGCCCTACGCCCTACGTGCCAGCTGCTAAGATCTGAAGAGGACGATCGTACTCGCCACTTCCAGAAGAAGGAGATGTGCTGTCACAGAAATTTATGTGGACGTCCTTCGTCTCTGAGGTGTAGTACGTCCATGCACTGGTGCACGACCCAGCGACTTGAGATGGACTTGATGAGGGTGGCTCTCCATTCGTCATCAGGCCGTCGAGGAAACCTTCGCCAGAAGAGAACTCTCCTCCAAGCGAGACGCCAGGCGACAATTGTTGACTTTGCATGAGCTTTCCCGCTTCCCACCCTTAGCATTCGGGTGTGCCAGGAGGTCCATCCGATGTTGGCACCCAAGACTCTGGGTTTCAGCTCGCTCGCATCGCCTTTTTGGGCTTTTCGCGTAAACTCACTGCCTGCACTTCAGGCGGCACCAGTAGCTCGGAAGTTTTCAGCCCCACCGGCAGCAGATGCCAATGGCCTCAGCTTCAAAGCCGTGATGCACACCCTCGGAGCTATTTGTGACGCCGGCCACATCACTTCCTGACACCACCCCGCCAGAACATGCCAGGAAATCGGCTAATAGTGACCACATGGTGGCGCCAATGGTAGTGGTTGTGGCAGCAGGAGGAGGAGGTGGAGGAGGAGTGGGAGCAGTAGCAGTAGCAGCAGCGGTGGCAGTAGCAAAATCAGTAGTGCTCAGTAGTGAAGTAGTACAAGCAGTGTGTAGAGTATATGGAGTATAAGCCGTGTAAGTAGCAGCAGTCGTCGAAGTAGTCGCAGTCGCAGTCGCAGATAGTCGCAGTCGTCGTTGTAGCAGTAGTAGTCGTCATAGCCTCAGTGGCGGCATCAGGGCTAGGCTAGGACTGGGAGTAGGAGTAGGAGAAGTAGTAGTAAAAGGAAGTAGTCGTAGTAGTAGTCGTCGTAGCAGCAGCAGGAATGCCACCACGACCATCAATCACGAGATGTGAGGTTCATGCATGCAGCTGCAGCAAAGTGCAGGCTGCACCAGTGGCGAGAAAGTTCTCAGCCCCGCCAGCAGCACCAGTACCTCCAGCGCCTCGGCTTGGTTTGAATTGGTTGTGTCATGGCTAACACCAGCTCCTGCTCTGTTAACGGTACATTAAGGCGTCACGCCCAACAAACTACGACAGCATGGACTTCTCAAAGCAACCGGCTCGGTGGATGTAGTAGCTGTGAGTAGCGACTGGCTTGTGCTTCCGACTTGTCTGGTCGTGAGGTACAGCTCCAGTATTCACGAAAGTGATGGTCTGCAAGACGCGCAGTTGGCCAGGCGCAGCCAGGACCTGAGCTCTTGGTTAAAGCAAAGTTAAAGCAAAGCAAAGACAAGCAATCAAGAAGTCTAAAGATGCATGCAACGAGGTAGCTTGGATGGACAGTGGATCCAGAGTCCGCGCCTGCGGCAATGCTTCAACAACATTCAGCTTGGTGCGAAGATGGGCCGAGAACTTACTGGCAACATCTTCCGATTTGACGGGCCAGCTTCCTGCGTCCGAGCATGTGACTCTTCTCCTTGACTGCAGGCGCCTCGGTTGGCGGCTGCTTCGGCCTCCTTACAGGGGCTTGGGTGGCGATCACGCAGAGGAACCTCCTGGTGCCCGAGAATGGGGCGAACAAAAAAGAGGGACTTCTGTGAGGCGTCGGGGCTCGTAGTCTAGGTCGACAGCTCTCCTGCGCAGGTGCTGCCAGTCTCCGTGATCGGAGGTGCTGTCAGCTTTGGATTCTTCCTGGGGTGCGGAATGATCATCAGGCCCCGGGGCTGCCATGTGTGACCTGCGCGTTTCCGACAAAATCTGCCTACTGCTCTCGCAAGTATAATGACGCTGACCCGAAGTGCACGAAGTCTGCAATCCCAACGCTCCAAGCCGCTAGGTGTGAGGAGCAGAAGGGTGGTGCGATGGTTCACTCCCAGCTGGTCTCCGTGGATGTGCACCGCCATCTTTAGCCGTCATGCCAGAGTTGCGTTCAATCTGTAGCAGCTACCACTTGGTCGCAGTTCGAGCTCGCTCCCTAATGGCAAAGTGCCTCAGTATTCTGGCATTTCGAAGCCTCGTTCTGTCCTATCCGACTTAGCCTCGCTCTGCCCCCGCTTTTGGGGGAAGAGCGTGACTCGAGGCTTCCACCCGACCCAGACCGCTGCTTGGAGCGACCGGCGTGTTGGCCTCGGAGGTGCAACAGACTGCCAAAGGGCACCAAAGGGTTTAGGATGGTTTAGGGTTTAGGACACCATAGCAAGTAGCAGGATGTTGCGCCTTCTTTGCCTGGGCTGGACGAAACTAGTATCGCATGCCACATTGCCCTTTGCCCAGCATCAGCCTGACTACCCCATTCTCTTCTATGACATCGGCTGGCCGGTGGTGCTCTTCTGCTTCGCATGATATGCGTTTTGTGTATGTATACTTTGCCTGCAAGTCACTTTAATGCCACCTCGCGGCCATTTTGGCTTAAGTGCCTGTTTTTGTTGTGTTCTGTTGTCTCTGTCTAGCTGTTGGGCTGGTGCTGGTCATGTCGCTGGTGCCTCTTTCGCGCTTTGTTCGCCGTGCCCGCAGCCTCGCACAGGCGGAGACGGACATGCTGACGGCTGCCTTGGAGGCTATCCCAAGGTCAGAACTTCGGCGGCTGTACGCCGTTGCTAAGGAGATCCTCCAAGAGGACGCCCACAGCGACGAGTCGTCTGACCCCACTGTTCTTTCTGACTGGAAAGCGCCTGACCAAGGTGACGATCTGCCGTCGGCTGTCGAAGCTGACCTCCTGGGCCTTGGGACTGACAGTGGCAGTGGTATGCCTGGTTCCTCGTCTGACGCAGGACCTGCCGTTCCTGTTGATGAAGGCGGGGCTGATACCACTGCCGTTCCTGACTCTGGCGGTCTGTCAGCAACTGCCCCTGCTGACCTCGACGACCACGAGAGCGACGACGATGGTGCCATCGAGCCGCTGCCAGAGTGGGAATGGGATCAGGGGGAGCCGAGTTCTTCTGCCGAACCTGCGGTGCCTGTCACAACTTCTGACCCTGCCGTCGCTGGTGCCTCGCCCAGCCCTCTTGCAGGTGCACCGCCTCCTTGGCTTCAGGAGCTCGATCTCAATGCTATGGACGACGACCCAGTACCTCCTGGCCGTCCACCGGCTCGGGCACCAACTGTGGCTGCCCCCCCCCCCTGACCTTTCTGACCCTCCTGCTGACGCTGCCCCTGGCACAGGTTCTGACCACAGCACACCTTTGCCCGCCGGCTCGACTGCGGATGTTTCTTTGGCGGCTGCCTCTTTGTCTCAGGCGCCACCTGCTGGAGCTGGGGGCCAGGACGGGGGCACTGGCGGTGCTGCCACCTCTGCCTCAGAGGTGACTGCCGATGCTCAGCCCGCCTTGCCTGTGGCCCAGGCGGTTGCTGCTCCGCCTCCTGAGTGCCGGTTGGAACTTAGTGGATCTGCCGAGCTGCCTTATCTCCACGCTGTCGATGTCCTGCAGGGCCTGGAGATTCCCAGCCATGTGCTTCCACTTCGTTTCCCGCTTCAGCCGCTGCCGAAGGTCCTTAGGGACCACGGCCACTCGTTGAGTGGCTACTGTGCTGCACCATGTAGAGCCCGGTGCGGATTTTCATGTGGCCGACCAGTGAGCAACACAAGCAGACGCTCACATGGCGGTCACTACTGTAGTCAGTGCCGCCGAGACTGACGCGTGAGCCTCTGACTCCCTGTCTTCCTGCCTGAAAGCTGTTTTTCTGAGGTCTGCCTGCCTGCCCATCTGACTGCACAGGCACATACTTGGCTTGCGCCCGCTGCCTGTCTGGCTTGTGCCTTTCTTACACACCGCTGGCCACTGTGACTCCTGGCTCAGCGGGCGGGCTTGTGCTCCCCCTGCCTCGTCACAGGCCGGCTTAGTCTGTGCTTGTGCACTTTTGGGCTTGCGCCCTGCCAGGCCTGACTTTTCTGGCGGCTTGTGCCGCTCTCATTGTTGTATGCACACGTGCGCTGCGCCTTGGCCTTGTGGTCTTTGGGCGTGGCTGTCACTAACTCTCAGGTGCTTTTGGTGTCGGCCGGGGCCTCAGCTTGCTTGGTTTTGGGGTTTTCGTGCAGTGCTTGTGCACTTTTGCATGCTCTCGGGCAGGCTTTGCACTCCTGGGTGGCTTGTGCCGCCCTCGGTGCTGCATGCCTGTCTATGCTGCCTTTGGCTGCCTTGAGGCCCTTGGTGCTCTGGCCGTGGACTTGAGTCTAAGGTTCCTTGGTGGTGGCTGGGACCTCAGTTCTCCTTGCTGCTTTAGCGCATGGCTGTGACCTTGAGGTCACTTCCTTTTGTCTGGCGCTCCTGCCTTGCTGTCCTCGGCTTGTGCCTGGACTTGCCCTCAGCAACTGCTGCGGGCTTTGGTTTTGTTCCCAGCCTCCCTGCCTTGAGGCACGGTGGGCGCGGTACTTGTGTACCATTGCTCTGCTGTCCTTCGGGCTTGAGCCTCAGTGCACCTCCCTTGGTGGCGTTGCACTTTGGGCTGACACAGGTTTGGGGCCTGCCTTGTGGCATCGCTTACGAGCTGTCTCGCCTGACTCTTACTGCCTCGGGCTTGGGCCGGTGCACCTGCCCTGCCGCAGGTCTCTCTGACTTCACTGCCTTTTCTGAGTCGCGATGTCGAGTATCGCCGACAGTGAAGTGACATTTGCCACCCGTGCTAAGCAGTACGGCCTGACTCAACCCATGATCACCAGTCTGTCTGACGCTGGCATCAAGAGTTACTCGTCTCTTCTTTTCTCAGTGGCCAGTGCACCTGGTGCTGTTGACGAGACTCGACTGAAGGCCACTCAGCAGAAACA